TTTGATGCCATTGTAATGGTATTGATTTTGAAATTTTCATTTTCAATTGTTCCTTGCTTGTATATAGAAATGCAATTACTTTTTAAAATATTGATCTTGATAAATTCACTTATTCTAGTAATGTTAAGGGAGTTCTTTTTGACATCTAGTTTGTTGAAGAGTTTTTTTTTTTAATCAGAAATGGATTTTACTTTTTGTCAAAAGATTTACCTGCATCCAGTAGGATGATCATACAGCTTTCTTCTTTCTCTGCCAATATGGTGAATTACATTGATTGCTTTGGGAATGTTAAACAGTTTTTGTATTTCCAAAATAAACTACCTTGGTCACAGTGTAGCATTCTTTTTATTATCAAAGGAAATAGAAGATGTTCCTGAGAATTCTTGGTGGGTTAAGAAGGTCACAGAGGGTATTGTCTAATTCCATATGCCAGTTTAAAAGGGGGTTATAGTTTAGATTCCTCTAAATTTCTCTATTACAAGGAGAATAGAGAGAGAGGTAGTAAAAGGAAGATGCAGACAAAGAAGAAATTTGAGCTATTTTAATCTTCTAAGAAATATGTTTCACTTAGAATTCAGCCGTGAGGATGCAGGACTGGCAGAGAGATCACCAGGGGCAGTAGCTGCCAGGGCTGAAGGGGGCACATTTTAAAGTCTGATACCAGGAGTGAGGGTTTGGCTTCTGTGGTATTTGAAAGAGTTGACCCCTCCCTTTTTCTTGGAACACTGCACTTTCTTCCTCCATCTTCCTGACACTAATTTATCTGCTTCCCTACCTCCCCCATCACTGCTTCTCAGACTTCTTTACTGGGTCCTCATTTTTAAATGTTAGAGTTACCCGGGGCTTAGTCATAGGTGTTTCCCTATGCAATCATCCCCCAGGTTAATTTTATCCAGTCCCGTGGATTTAAACATTTACTTAAAACATTTAACTAAAATTAACTTGCTATGGCCTATGACTAATTGAGCCAGTCTGGGTCCCTAACTGCCTTCATGATTATCTTCTCCTCTTTTCTCTTCCAGTCCAATCCAACCTGTCCCCACATCAGGATTTTTAGTCCTGCTCTTCCCTCTTCTTGGAATGTGTTCCCTCTGATCTTCTCATAGCTCACTGCCTCATTCTAGTTGGTTCTCAGTCAAATAACTGAGGGACCTTCCCTAAATCCTAAACCTCGCTATCGAAAATAGCTGTTCCACCCTGTTAACATCTATCTTCTGACCCTACTTGACTTTTTTGTATCTTAGCCTTCTTGCTGCCCCCTATTTATGGCCATTGTTTATTTATTTATTGGCATATTCGTTGTCTGGGCTATGCATTGTGATATAAGAACCAAGAAAGCCGCAGGGGTTTCTTATTTCATTGAGACTCTTATTAAGTACTCGAAAGATATTTGTTTAGTGAATAAATAAGTGAATATTTTGCTGACACTTTATACATTAGGTTTAACAAGTAAATTCTACCCAATGCATGGAGTTTTTTGGTCTTTTTTTTCCTAGGCATTTCTTTTGCATTTGTATTACTTACACTAAGATAACAGGGTTTTCTATTCATTTACTCACAAAACTGCAAGTTGGCTTTTCTCAGTTCAGGTATGGTTAACACAAGAGAACAAGGGTAGCATAAAAGTTAGTTGACTGTGCTTTGCACAAAGTCTCTACAGTTTCTAAATCTAATGGTGTTGAATATTGTCTCTGCTTATCCAGTCCTAAAAATCACTTAAATTATGTTTATGTCAGTTTCTCTCTTTAGTTTGTAAGCGTATTGAGGGCATGGACCATGAACTACGTACAACTTCAGTGCCAGGGCCAAACTCAGGGCCTGGTAAATTGAAGGTTTACAATCGATGTTTGTCGAAAATGACAAATAGGAGAAGGTTTCAGGGAAATACAAGCATCTAGGTCAAAATTTATGCTTCTCTGTGAAAACTTACCAAGGTTTTCATAATTTTGTGATTCTGTCTTTTTTTAATCAGTTGTCTTTTGTGTCCCACACTGAATCCTAATTCACTTTGTCAGGTAAACTCCCCTCTTGCATACCTCTCTATTCATAGCCAAATCAACCTCCCCATTACTCACTGCAGATGGAACTATGCCTTAGAATGGATGCAGCCTTCTGGGAACCTACAAGCTGGAGGTAATAGAGGGTCAGGACAGGCCCACAGGGATGGCAACCAATTAAACCAATGAGTTGTGTTTAACCCTGATGGTTTTTATTATACCAAATATGGGCTAGATGAAACCAGTATCATGCGGCACCACTTCTGGGGTACTTTGTCAAAGGAGCCACCCTAACCTTCCAGGTTCAAGAGGAGGAACAGAGACTCAGTCTTATGATGGGGAAATGATCAAGTTCTTTAAGAGCATGTGGGATGGAAAATGTCGTTGTGACCATTTTGGGACAATACAGTCTGCCACAACCACTGTTAATATTTTGTTGACTCTCCTCCTTGGCCTCAATTTCTGCATATTCTGTTTTACATAAATGGGTTTTCATGGTACCTGCTGTTATAGAACATTCTTTGTTTATATTAGACAAATTGTCACATTACAGAAAAAGAAACTGAGGTTAGTAACATGGCTTATCACGCAGTGAGTTAGCAGCAGAGTCAGATCTGGTGCCAAGTCTCTTGATTACAAATCTAGGATTCCCTACTATTCCATGTGGAGTATGAAAGCAGAGTACTATGATGTTTCATGTTAGAGTTTTGCATAGAATAGGGTAGATTTTGAGGCAGTTGTGGAAGGCAGGAAGGACAGTTAAGAGGCCAGGTGGTAGGTAGCTCACAGATAAGCAGGTGGTTTGACATTTGTAATGAAAACACACATGAAACATAAAAGTTTAAAAGATGCCATAGAGAAAGGCAGGGGGCTGACTATATAGTTTATATATTTTCTCTTAAAGAGGTTGGATTTTTATAAGTTTACAGAAAAATATAGGAATCAACTTAGACTGGAGACAGGTAAACCTATTTGGGAGGGCAGGTAGATTAGAATTGGAAGCCATGGGACAGTTACAAAAAAGGGAACATCTTTTTGTTGTTGTTTTTTGAGTATCTAAGATATACTAGGCAGTATGGTAGTTGTGTAATAACCATTTAGCAACAAACAGCTTTGAGATGTTGAAACCATTATTCCCAATTTACAGATCAAGAAGATAAGTTTCAATGCTTAAATTAAATACTTTTCCTTAGATCATGTAAGTGGATCACAACTTGCTGAGAAGTCAGGATTTAGAACCAGACCTTTTCTTTATACTACAGAGCAATGGTTAGAAGAATTAGAGTTAAGAAATAGTAAAAATTTGCTCCAGAGGTGGAAATATTTAAAAAGAAGTTTAGGACAGGGAGAAAGAACACCCTTTTTTGAGTAGCTACAGAATATTTTTAAGTGAATTCTGAAAGATAATTTTCATTAACCAGTTGGCATCTAGATTCAAAAAATTCCAAAGCTGGAGTGGAACTCAGAGCTCAAGATTCAGTGCTTTTTACCATCAGAATCACCTGAGGGGTGTTTCCAGAATCCAAATGCCTAAATTCCTTCATTAGAGTCTGGATTGGTAGATCCAGGGTGGAGTTTGGAAGGAAAGCAGTCAAAGCTAGTTTGTAGCCATCTCTCAGCCTCAGGCAGTCTGAGGTTTGACCCTGAATCAAATCCCCTTTGCATCTAATTCAAGAATTGTGTAGGTGTAGACTCAATCCTTAAAAGAGGCAGTCCTGCTGAAATGGCTTGGTGTGACTTGATTGATTTTGGAGGAATCTGTAATTGATGAGTAACTATTTGTTGAGATGTAGCTGAATCAGAAAATGAGTGCTGGTCACATACTTCTGGGGGACCTATGTGATAAGCAAGGCAAAATGCAGAAGTAACTCCAGGTTTGAAGTTTACTTGAACTGAGGTGGTCCACCCCCACTCAGCACTCTCTCTTATGACCATGCACATCCCAGGTGCGGAATGAGTAAGATATCTAGAACACATGCCTGGGAGTTGTGAGACCTCTGCCATGCTGTGTATGTGTGGTATGGCTGTCCTGTATCCTCTGCTAAAGCTTTCTTAATGCTTGATTCTTGGTGTATCTTGTGAATTTAATTGCCAAGCTGAACCCAAGATTGCTGCAGCTGGTTGAGTGGAGAAAGGCACTGCAGTTCTGAAGTTGTGAATTTTGAAAAAGGTACCCCAGGTAATTCTAATGGAAACAATTGGGACCAATGGCCTCGTTTTATAGATGAGAAAATTAGGTTCAATAAAGTGAGCTGACATGCTTCAAGTCTGCTTGGGCACAGAGTTAGGATAAGAATTGACAGCTTCTATATATACAACCTCTGGTTTTCCATAAAATACATTTGCCAAAGTATGTTTTGCACAACACTAGACCTATGAACTAATCTGGGATGAATCAGGTCCTGTATGATTGAATAAGTTTAGTTTTGAGAAATGCTACATACTATATTACTCTCCTGGTGATTTATACTATACTAAAGGTTCTCAGAAGTTGTCTAATTTAAATAATTTTTAAATTTAACTCAGAGTTTACCTAAACTGTTTAATGTGTGATCTTTCATTTTTATAGCTATTAAACATTTCACTGAATGGTACCTTAGCAAAACGAACTTTGAGAAAGGCTGATCTAGAGAAATCTTGATTCAATAAAGGAATTAATAATAACTGTTTTCAAAGCTGCAAAAGCTAGACTATAAGTACTATACATACTTGTTATCACCTAAGTTAATAAACAATTTGTGCAAAAGTTTTTATTTTTGCACAAGAGTTTTTAATAACACACAATATATTCAAGATGTGTTTTATGGTTGTGACTTATGGAAATTAAAGGGTTTGTTTCCAAGAGCAGAGCTACATGGAAAAGCCCCAACTCTTCAGGGGTTGAAATAGGAGGCAGATATCTGAAATGTTATTAAAAGCTGAACCATCATGACTATGCCATAAACTTTGGACAAAATCATCCACCTGGTTATGAAGATAAAAGTAAGTCAGATGTCCAATACATCAAAGGCAGAAACTTTTCTTATTGATGAGCTTTCTCAGGGCACCTTTTATGTCCTTGTTCCTCAAGCTATAGATGAAGGGGTTCATCATGGGTGTCACCACAATGAATAGTATTGCACCAATTTTATCTCTGTCGTCAGGGTGCATGGATGAGGGGAAGAAATAAACCCCTACAATGGTCCCATAGAAGAGCAATACAACTGTCAGGTGAGAGGCACAGGTGGAGAAGGCTTTCCACATTCCCTCTGTGGATGAGATTCTCAGGACAGCCTTGACAATGCAGATGTAGGAGAAGAGGATGAGGGCAAAAGGGAAGGTGATGACTGATAAGCCCACGATAAACAACACAAGCTCATTGATCGTTGTGTCTGAGCAGGATAGTTTCAGCAGAGAAGCCAAGTCACAGAAGAAGTGTGAAACAGTGTTGTTGTCACAGAAGTACAACCGAAGGAGCAGAAGAGTGTGTGTCAGGGCAACAATATTACTGAGGACCCACGGAATGACTGTCAGCAAAATGCAGAGCCTGGGTTGCATGATGGTTGTATAGTTCAGAGGGTGGCAGATAGCCACGAACCGATCATAAGCCATGACCCCCAAGAGGAAATTGTCAATGACAACAAACACAATAGAAAAGTACATCTGTGTGATACAACTCTCATAAGAGATGGATTGACTCTTGGTCTGAATATTCATCAGCATTTTGGGGACAGAGGTAGAAATGGAGGAAATATCAGCAATGGATAGATTAGCAAGGAAGAGATACATTGGAGTATGAAGGTAAACATCCAAGCCGATGGCCAGGGTGATGAGGCCATTCCCAACAACAGTGACCAAGTACATACCCAGGAAAAGCACGAAGAGAAGATTCTGCTCCTCAGCATGGTTGGAGAGTCCCAGGAGGAGGAATTCAGAGATGGTGGTTTGGTTTCCCTGATGCATATTTCTGCTGATCTGAAGAAAGGAACACAAGGTCTTCTTCTCCCTACAAGGAACCCCAGTATGGTACCATTTGGCTGCAGCCTCTGCAGGAAGGTGGGTACTCCCTCTAGGCTAAAGGGCAATGAAGGGTGGAGAAAGATTATTTAATAAGGAACTATGTCAGCTGTGCAGAGCTCCAGAAAATGCCTTAGGAAGGAAATACAGAGACAGATGCTTTTCAATGAACATGTTTTAAACTCTAATATAACTCTGAATGTAATTTTTACAGTTGGCTCCAAATGTAATTAAATGCCCCAAATTAAGGACAATATGGTAGGTGTGCTCCATATTCTAAAGATGTTAGATACCCTTCTCTAAAGGAATTACTTAAAAACGAACAATCTGGTCCTATAACCTTTCCCACCATCCATCCTGATCTTTTAAATCTAAGAAGATAGAATTTTAAAGAGATGTTAAAGCGAAGAGTTTGGAGAAGAGGAAACAATCGAGGGTTAAGTATGCTTATGGGAATATACTGTCGTGTGGGTGCTTTGTTCCACTCAGCTTAGGGGGGCACTCCAGAAGAACTGCTCTTGGAGGATGTGTACAGGAAGGGGAGACTAGAATTCTACTGTACTCATGGCTAGATGTTAATTGAACAAGGACAGTTTAGAGGACACATAAAGACCTAAAGACTTGTATTTGCCTCCACTTCTAAACGAGAAGGCTTGTAGGATCAGCCCAGTATGGCAGGGATAAGGAAAAGTGAGGTAGGGCAATACTTTCTCATTTGTGGCATAGCATCAGTATGTGAGTTTCCTCTAGGCTAAGTATGTGCTGCAGGAGGATGTTGGATTCAAGTCATCTCACTGGACTCCAACCAAAATGCAGCCTGCTAGTGTAGAGGAGACTGTAGCAGGGAAAGGTGATGGAGTGGCTCTCTTACAAAAGAAGAAATATAAAATGATGAGGGAAAAAATTCACTGAGCCTCGGATGGTTTGGGCTTGATCACAGTGTGGAACTACGGTCCTGGCTGGTGTGGTTCAGTGGACTGAGCACCGGCCTGCAAACCAAAGCATCCCAGGTTGGGTTCCCAGATGGGGCACATGCCTGGGTTGCAAGCCAGGTTCCCAGTAGGGGCACACAAGAGGCAACCACACATTGATGTTTCTCTCCCTCTCTTTCTCCCTCCCTTCCCCTCTGTCTAAAAATAAAATAAATAAAATCTTTTTAAAAAGTACATGGAACTATGCATTTTTGAGGGACAATCTCTAATCTCACTTTCCTGTCCTGCCTTTCCCACCCACCATCACTGCTGTGCAAATTGTGCTGAGTTCCTGACACACTTGTCTCACTGGTTAAGAGCAGCACTGAAGCAAAAACAAACAAACAAACAAACAAAAAACCCACCTCACCTTTGAAAGATAGTAGGATCTCAGGAAGTTACTGGAATCAAAACCCAATAGCTTACCTTGTTGACATAGTAGCAGCGGGGAGACTGAGAGCAGCTCTTATGTGTTTTTCAGAACAGGACTCTCCCCAATAACCAGAGTTAATAGTCATGGTTCTGGGCTCACATGGGACATGAACCCCTTCTAAGTCCTTTGGGATTGTATCCCTGAAGTGGTTTTCCAAGACAAACAGTTTTCACATGCCAGTCTCAGTGAGGTAAATGGGGAATAGATGGGCAACTCTGCTTATTTTGTTTGTTCATCTTCTGGTGCCTCTTCCTACTTGTGATTTTTCATTTGTTGCTTAACTGGTTACTGCTGTTCGTGGCAAGTGAGTAGCTTGTTGTGTGTCTTATGTTCCCAGTGATGGGAAGCATTTTGAGAATTCCTTCTCCATTTCCCTGTAGTACTTAGTAGAAGGGGAGCACTTAGTGAATACCCCAAGAACTGAATTAATTCTTGCACTAGGGTTAATGACTCCCAAGATATGCCATCTCTAGTAGAAAGGATGGGCTATAGCCTCTGTACTGCTTGAATGAATGTCAGCAGTGGAAGAGGATCTAGGGACCCCTTGACTCAGCACTCAGTACTCTTAGTTGCAAACCAAAGAAATAAACTCTGGCCTTTTAATATTGAAAGCAAACATATTGAAATGATATTGAGTGGTTCATGGAGACATTGGGAAGGCTGGAAAAACAGACCCTGAAATGGACAGGAGCAAGGGAGGCTGTATAGGCAGAGACATAGCCCAAATCAGTATATCACTTCTTCTAATGTTTACATGTGCCTCATAATATAGTGCAAGTATTTCTCACCACTCCTTAACAGCAAACAATGAACCTATGGACTAACTATATAATTACTCATGACTATTATTTAAAATAACTTGACAATGAAGGTTTTAATACCTATCTATCTATCTATCTATCTATCTATCTATCATTTATACTTCTAGTCACAGTTAGAAAGAAAATATAAGTGATAGAAGCCAGGACAGTGGTTGATTGGGTAGGAAGAGAACTTGATTAGAAAGGGACACAAGCAAGAGAACTATCTGGGGTGATGAAAACATTTCATTATTGGATATAATTGTTCATATACATCAAACTGAACCAATTTAGATCTATGTGTTTTATTCTGTTATTTACACACTGATTACAATATAACAGAAACAGAACAAGCTCATCACTTTCCCCTTTTTTGCTTCAAGTGGAATTTGAAACTCTTACGACATCAGAATCAATGGAAAATCTTTTCTTGCCTTATTTTTCCTCCTGGGTAAGCAGAGGTTGAGATGTTAAATCTTTGCTGGGGTTCTGGAAGCAGATGTTGGGAGATAGAGTGGAGCCAAGGATGTTCCTACACGATAACATCCAGAGTGAAGAGTCATCTTCCCAGTCGCATAGGAAGTTATTCCATGTTATGTAGGAGAAGAGAGACCAGGTGTGTGGCACCTCCTCAGAAACAAGACCCAGGATAGAACAAGCCAGTGGGAGGCACTTATGTATAAACACATGGATTTGCTGAAGGTTTGTGGCCTCATATGGACCCGTGGGAGGGAGCTGACAATGAAGACATTTTGGAGCTAGGCTTCCTAATAACTATTTGGTCATGGGGGAAAAAAGATAAGTAAACACTTCTTGGAAAACACACAGAAGAACTTACCAAAAGTTATGTTGAGGAGGACATGGGCATGTGTGGCACCATGGTCTTCTTGCATTTGTCAGTCTCTACTCTAGATAAAAAAAAATTGACTTATAACTGTGGTTCCTTTCCCCAATAGTCTGTAAACTCCCTGAAAGCAAACGTTGTTTTTTTTTTGTTTATGAATTCAAGCATATAACTGAGTGCCTGACACACAAGAGTCCCCTTTTCATCCCCAAGTCACTATCTCAATGTTCTCCTTCTTATTCTAAACCCCTGCTTCCCTTTTCACCTTTTGCCTATTTATTTATTGTCCCTTTTCCTCTTACAAACATTAGGTCAATGGAGTCAGAGACTTTGGAAAATAGTAGGTTCTCTTTAAATGTTTGTTTAAAAACAAGTAAATGAACATGTAATAAATATTTATTGGAGAAATTGTATTATGGCATAAAAGGGTCTTTCTAAAATAGCTTCATAAAGATCACCAAGTATGTGGTCTGTGGTTCCGGGGATGGTTATACAAAGTTCTGCCCCATCTCTGTTGAGTAGCCTCTTTCCTAGTGCTAGGAACACCATACTTTTTCCTCTTAATGAGAGCTGGATTGAAGCCAATAAGAATAAGAGAATTCTCAGATTGGAGCTAGTGAGTCAAGACAGGCCTCAGCAATAATTACTATCATATTTCAAACCTTTACTGATTTTCACTAGAATATGTAATTTTACAATGTGGTTTTTTAAAGTCGAGAGAGTCATTATGAAAATACCTGTTGAGATTCTTTTTTAAAAAATATATTTTATTGATTATGTTATTACAGTTGTCCCATTTTCCCTCCTTCATTCCCCTCCACCCTGCACATCCCCTCCCACCCACATTCCCCCCCTTTATTTCATGTTCATGGGTCGTACATATAAGTTCTTTGCCTTCTACATTTCCTATACTGTTCTTACTCCCCCCCTGTCTATTTTCTACCTACCTTCTATGCTACTTATTCCCTGTACCTTTTCCCCCTCTCTCCTCCTCCCACTCCCCTGTTTATAACTCTCCATGTGATCTCCATTTCTGTGGTTCTGTTCCTGTTCTAGTTGTTTGCTTAGTTTGTTTTGCTTTTGTTTTAGGTGTGGTTGTTAATAGTTGTGAGTTTGCTGTCATTTTACTGTTCATATTTTTTATCTTCTTTTTCTTAGATAAATCCCTTTAACATTTCATATAATAATGGCTTGGTGCTGGTGAACTCCTTTAACTTGATCTTATTTGAGAAGCTCTTTATCTGCCCTTCCATTCTAAATGAAAGATTTGCTGGCTGGAGCAATCTTGGATGTAGGTCCTTGCCTTTCATGATTTCTTTCCAGCCCCTTCTTGCCTGCAAGGTCGCCTCTGAAAAATCAGCTGACAGTATGATGGAACCTCCTTTGTAGGTAACTGTGTCATTTTCTCTTGTTGCTTCTAGGATTCTCTCCTTATTTTTAACCTTGTGTAATGTAATTATGATGTGCTTTGGTGTGTTCCTCTTTGGGTCCAACTTCTTTGGGACTCTCTGAGCTTCCTGGACTTCCTGGAAGTCTATTTCCTTTGGCAGATTAGGGAAATTCTCCTTTATTATTTGTTCAAATAACTTTTCCACTTGTTGCTCTTCTTCTTCTCCTTCTGGCACCCCTATAATTAGGATGTTGGAATGTTTAAAGATGTCCTGGAGGCTCCTAAGCCTCTCCTCATTTTTTTTTTTTAATTCTTGTTTCTTTATTCTTTTCTGTTTGGTTGTTTCTTTCTTCCTTCTGGTCCACTCCATTGATTTGAGTCCCAGTTTCCTTCCCAACACTATTGGTTCCCTGTACATGTTCCTTTATTTCACTTAGTGTAGCTTTCATTTTTTCATCCAATTTGTGATCAAATTTAAGCAATTGTGTGAGCATCCTGATTATCAGTGTTTTGAACTGTGTATCTGATAGGTTGGCTATCTCTTCATTGCTTAATTGTATTTTTTCTGGAGCTTTGACCTGGGAGGGATAATCCACATTGCTTTGTTGTGACACTGTATACAGGGCAGGGGTCCGAGAGGGAACAATGGCGCTTGCTCCATTCTCTGCCAGTTTTCAGTCACTTCCCTTGCTTTCCACAAGCAAATTGGACCCTTCTGGTGCTGATTCCCTGGTGGATTGGCTTGTGTACATTCTAGGACTACAGAGGTCCCAGAGCTCTCCAATGAGCTCTACTGTGAGGCTGGGAATTTCTCCTACTGCCCCTTCAATCCCCACTGGTGTTTTTAATCAGTGGTTTGAGCCTTTATTTCCCCATACTGGAGCTCTGGACTGTGTGATCTGTCTTGCTCCCCAATTGTTCCTCCTGGTTTATCTGCACATGAATGTGGAACTGCCTGCTTCACCAGCCGCTGCCTCTGTCTTGCTGGCCAGCTGCAGCCTTCCATGCCCCACTCCACAATCCAGTGCTAGGTCTGCCAGTTACCACCTTGTAATGAGTCCTCTCCACATGCCTGCCTCCACCCCTCCTACTGGTCTAGATGAGTGTGTCTTCTTTAACTCCTTGGTTGTCAGATTTCCATACAGTTCGATTTTCTGTCAGTTCTGGTTTGTTTTTTTGTTTTTAAATTGTTGTTGTCCTTCTTTTGGTTGTGCGCGGAGGTGCAGTGTGTCTACCTATGCCTCCGTCTTAGCTGGAAGTCTGAGATTTTTGATAGTGTGGTACTGCAGGTTATTTTGACCTGTCCCATATCCATAAAACAAACTGTCTGCTCAGGATGTGTTGTTATGTAGTCTGTTTCATGCAGTAATTTTTTTTATGTAGACATCTCTCTATCAACACTTATTAGTTATAATTAGACAACACAGACATGAATAAATGCTCACTTCCTATATGGTTTCTTTGGTCTTCAATATGTGAGAATGAGAAATTGGAAATCTTGGGAATTTTTAGGAATGCATAAACTTATAAGTAATTCTTAAAATATTTTCAATGTTCTTTGTACATTTTACTCATTATTATGTATATCTAAAATTTTTTAAATAACATAAATACTAGGTATATTAGTACATACCAAGTACTGTAGACTATAGTGAATAGCCAAATACTGGAACACACCCATGAATATTATTGCTGGTATTTTAATAACTAAGCATTCAGGTCTCCCAAAAAGATTAACACAGATTAGCACTACACAGAACCATATGTCACACTGCCAATTTAAGGGGTTAAATTTGCTTCCAAAATTTATTTCTTGGAACATCATTCATAGGATTTGTGTAATATCCTAGGCACACAAATTTAGGGATATTAATTTTATTTGCAAGAATGACTCACTGTTTGAAGCAGATAAGACCATGCACACACTCTCGGTGGCAGCTACCAGCAAGACTGACTGATGAGGTCATGACTGCTCCTCTTCCAGTGCTGTTTATCCTGATTACAGGAACGTAGACTTAACCTTCAACTCTGCATGTCATGCTTTCCGCATTACCCTCAACATGATTCCTCTGAGCCCTGTCACATTCTCTATGTTGATCATTATGCTATAAGTATGCAGAAGAATTATATTACTTTCCCCAATTTTCTGGATTTCTCAATTACTTTTTCTCAGAATCTGGATTTAATAATAAATAATTTCTCTTTGAGAAATTCTGGGAAGAAATTCCCACATAGAAACATGACTCCCACCACTGTGACTAACACTTCCTTTCATCCACTGGTTAAACCATAAGAAAAGAGCTGAAGAAATCCACTGTGACAACATACCATGATGATTTTGTTGTGTAGTCTGGACTCCAGGTTCTCACTGATAATATGCTCAATTAATTACACTACCTGATAAAATACATTTTAATAAATTCCAACAAGAGAGGTATAAATAGAGAATGTCAATGGATAGAGTGGTTACTTCCTGAGCAAGTGCTTCTTTGTAAGTCTGTTGATACCAAGAACAGACTCACACACCCAGAAGGCTTCATGAAGATGCTGAGCAGGGTTTTGAAAGAAGTAGACTTTTGAAGCAAATGTTGAAGATGAAAGAGAAGAAAAGTGGAGGAAACCTAAAACAGTTTTGCAAGTTCTGACTTCCACTTAGTGCTACCACAAAGCTACCTTATTACAGGGAGTTGGAGGGGCCATCATTTTCTCAAGGGGAACATCACTGATTGACATTTCAGTCCTATCATTTGATTCATGATATACTCCACTCAATGTTCTAATTCTAGAATCTAATAATTTTATAGAAATACTTTGATACTAACTCTAAGAAGGAGAAGCACATTATATTCAGCTAAAATAGGCACAGGAAAGTAGTTGGGGGAGACCAGTAATTCAGCTGAAAGGATTGATCAACCCCTTAGGTCCTTCTTCTTCCCAATAGAGTAACATTGCACCCTCTTCTTTTTGAGTTCCAAGTTAATCTTCTATATAATTTGTGGCATTAAATAGAAATGAAAGGAAGCATGGAAAGTTTTCCTTTTGTTGGCATTGCCAACAATGCCTAGCACACTGTGTACATTTAATTGATTCATTATGTTCTGATGTGACTTGGCCTGGTTATGTTAATATGCAAACTGCCAACCAGAGAGTTTTGTTCTTCTCCAGCATTTAGTTGGAAATGTAGACATTTCTACCATGTTGTTAAATCAATAACTGTTCCCAGAATAAGTGACACTTTGTAGTTTAATTTTCTTATTCCCATGTGAAATCAGCTTAAAAAAATTTAAAGCACCAACAGTAGTTTTGAAGAAAAAAATGAAGTAACCAAAAACAAAAGTATTCATCTAGGAAAAATATGAAAAATGGAGAAGGGTCCTGCTGTGATGAAGGCTTTTGTGCCAAATAAATCTATGCTAGTCTCAGATTCTTTTCAGAAATCATTTTGACACTTATAAGAGGAATACAGTCTTATTTTTTTAAAATGAAAAATGCATAAATTAATAAAGAAGAAAAATACTCGCAATTCTACAAATCACAGATAACAGCCATTAGCTTTTTGGTGTTTTTGTATGCACCATTATGCATGTGCATCTCTACTGAATTGGGCTCCTGTTATAAATTCAGGTTGGTTCCTTGCTTTTATCACTTTAGTTATAATGGTAAGTATTATGTCTTATTATTAAGTATTAAATTTACATACAATGTTAAGTATGCTGTATAGGTATCCAAAATTAGAAGTTAGGTTTTAATAACTTTTCAGTTTATAAAAGAAATAAACTGCCTTATATTTTTAGTTTTTACTAAGCTTAATTTTCTGAGGTTGTGATTTTAGAATAAGAATGATTGAATCAAGCCCTGGCTGGCGTAGCTCAGTGAATTGAGTGCGGGCTGGGAAGCCCAAAGTGTCCCAGGTTCGATTCCCAGCCAGGGTACATGCCTGGGTTGCAGGCCATAACCCCCAGCAACTGCACATTGATGTTTCTCTCTCTCTCTATCTCCCTCCCTTCCCTCTCTAAAAATAAGTAAATAAAATCTTAAAAAAAAAGCAATGTCCTTACCTATTTATTAAAAAAAAAAGAATGATTGAATCAGAGAATAGAAACTTTTCCAGGATTCGGTACACTTAGCTCTATTACATTCAGAAGGATTACACCAATTTTTTCAGTCACTTGCAATCTCCACTGGCAGGCATTGTCACTCTTCCTCCTGGAGTTGCTGCTAAGCAACATCAACTTCAGGGGCTGGATCCAGACCCCTGCCTGATAATTGTTCTGGGCAAGGGCATCCTTTGTTAACAACTGTCCTAGGAGTCCTCTTCACCTCATTGTTTCTCAGGTTATAAATGAGAAGGCTGAGCAGCATGCTGTTGGCCATGAACACCAGAGAAAGGAGCCCATTCCATTGGTACCTTGAGGGTTTACCTGTGGTTGGGGCACAGGGACAGGAAGATGCCACAACCATCTGCAACAGGACCTTGCTGAGGTGGAACAGTGGCACCACCTGCTGAGGGTATCTCTGAGCAGCATCCACTATGAGGGCACAGGGAGGGGTGAGGAAGAAGGAAGAGCAAGACTGACTACCTGAAGCCACCAGCACAGCCAGCTCAAGCAGGAGTGTGGGCATCAACCACATGCCATCTTCCACACTCTCACAGAGCTAACATGTAGTGTGAGTGCCTTGTCGATGAACACTAATTCTGACCTCTCCTTGGTGTGTAAGAATGAAAGAAAAGGAAGGTGACCAGCTGGGATACTTGGAGTGAAGGAAATTAATGCATCAAATAAGTTATTGTTTGCCATACATTTGTATCTTAATAATAAAGTGTATTTCTTTGAGTGAAATATATGTCTTCATAAATAGTCTTTATTTGAGGCATCTTTCACAATCTGAATTAATATCATTGCATCCTCAGGGGACAGGCTATTTAAAAGCATCAGCCTTTATTCACATCGTGTATGGGGTGAGGGTTCCCCGCCAGAGCAAGCCTCATGCCTGAGCTGCATACCTTTCAGTTAACGCTGGCAGACTAGGGCTCCTCCACTGAAAGTTTGGTTCAAATTTTCAAGTCTTATTTAAAGCACTTCAGGAAACTGGGTGTGGATTGTGGGTGGACATGGTGCAAATATCACAAAATAGAAATATCAACTTTAAAGTGTCAGAAAAATCAGTGTTCTAATTCTACATTTGCCTTTTGGAGTTTATTATCATGGCGACATACAGACACCCACCCCAGTCCTACCCTAAGCCTTCAATGGGTGTCGGAGGCCGATTTACTGATAATGGCATTTCTCAGAGCGTCTTTGACATCCTTGTTCCTAAGGGTGTAAATCAGGGGGTTGAGTAAGGGAGTGACAAAAGTGTAAATGAGGGCAAATTGGCGGTCCTTATCCACGGAGGCGCCAGACTGGGGACGCAGGTAGACCAAGGCACAGAAGCCATACTGCAGCAAGACCACCATGAGGTGGGAGGAGCAGGTGGAGAAGGCCCGGCTGCGACCCTCAGCCGAACGGATGCGCAGGATGGCCAAGGTGATGAACACGTAGGAAACAGAAATAAGGCTGAAGGGGACGACCAGCACGAGGATGCTCACAATATAGAGGACGGTCTGGTGCACGTGGATGTCCGCGCAGGCCAGCCGCAGGACTGGAGGCACGTCGCAGAGGAAGTGGTTGATTTCCCGCAGGCGCCCGCAGAAGGGCAAGGTGAAGATTAAGGATGTGAGCTGCAGGGACAAGTAGAGCGCCAGAGCCACAGCGCAGGCCACCATCTGGATGCACAGCTTCTGGGTCATGATGAGGGTGTAGTGCAGTGGGTGGCAGATGGCCACGTAGCGATCGTATGCCATGATTGCCAAGAGGAAACAGTCAGCACCACCAAGAGTGAGAAAAAAGAACATTTGGGCCCCGCAGCCAGCCAGAGAAATGGGCTTCGGGGCTCCAAAGACGTTGGAAAGCAGTAAGGGCACCACCACGGTGGTGTAGCTGATCTCCACGAAGGACAAGCAGGACAGGAAGAAATACATGGGGGTGCGCAGGGAGCTGTGTGTGCACACCGCCCAGATGATGGCTGTGTTGCCACAAAGGATCATCAGGTAGAGCAGGAGGAAGAGGAGGAAGAGGAGCGCCTGGAATTCGGGGACGGCGGTGAACAGGCGGAACACAAACTCAGTGGGGCCGGACTGGTTGAGGACAGCACTGCGAGCAAGCATGTCTTGCACGAAACATGACAGAAGTGCTGAGCCTTTTCCTTTGCAGAGCCCTCTTATTGCCTGAAGAAAAGCAGCAACTTTAACTTTGATTTTTGATTTAGAATTACCTATTTAGTATCCAGCTTCCAATTTCAATGCTTAGAATGAATGTACAAAGAGGGTGTGGTATGTGTTTCTAAGGAAATCTTATGAATGGAATATATAGTCATCTGTAGACATTTTTGTTGACAAAGACATGTAGATATTCCTGGTAAAATATCTTTTTGTTTTTACTCTCGTATTTTATTATTATTTATTATTATTATTATATCTTTTTAATTTTTTTCAATTACAGTTTATATCCAATATTATCTTGTATTAGTTTCAGGTGTACAGGATAGTGGTTAGACAATCAAATCTGTCACAAAGTGTTCTTCTGATATTTCCAGTACCCACCTGGCACTATGCATAGTTATTACAATATTATTGACTGTATTTCCTATGCCGTACTTTACATCCCCACAACTATTTTATAACTACCAATCTGTATTTTTCAATCTCTTCACCTTTACCACTCTGATATTTTAAATCAAATTGGCAAGGACTAATTTTTTGCTTGTATTTAATGGAACTAAAGAGTTGTATAGTTGTGGATATTTTAAAAATTAGATAAATGAATGTGTTTTTCACTTTTTAAAAATTGTTAATAATTGTTAACTATTATTGAAATATAACTTACATATAGGGAATTTCACAGATCTTAAGTGTACAGCTTGATTCATTTTTCACACAATAAAGACACTGGTATCAATAATCACTACCAAGATTAAGAAATAGAACAATTCTAGTGCTATTTACGTAGCCAAGATTTGGAAACAGCCTAAATGACCCTCAGTAGATGAATGGATCAAAAAGCTCTGGTACATTTATACAATGGAATGTTATGCAGCAGCAAAAAAGAAGAAACTTACATTTTGCAACAGCATAGATGGACCTGAAGAAAATTATGCTAAGTGAATTAAGCCACTCAGTGAAAGAAAAAGAAAAGTATCACGTGATCTCACTTATATGAGGAATCTTATGAACACAATAAACTTATGAACACAATAAACTAATGAACAAATAGTAACAGAAACTTAGACACATAAAACAGACTGACAGCTGCCAGAAAGGAGGAAGGGGGGACACATGAAAGATGGCGAAGAGATTAACCAAAGAACATTTATGCACAACCCATGGATACTGACAACAATATGGGGATTGGCTTGGGGAGGGGAGCTGGTGGGCTGGGTGGAGGTGGGGAAAGGAAAAAAAAAGCAGAAACAACTGTAACAGCATAAACAATAAAAAAATGAAAAAATAAATACTCCAAAGATGAAAACAAAAACAAAAAAGATATAGAACAATTCCAATAACTTACAAGCATCTTTTGTGCCTCCACTCAGTCTTTATGTCTCCCAGAGGCAACTGTTCTTTTGAATTTTATTACTGGAAATGTGTTTATGTTTCTTTTTAAATTATATTTTATTGATTATGTTATTACAGGTGTCCCAAATTTCCCCCTTTGCCACTCTCCACGTAGCACTCCCCACTTATTTGTGTTTCAATTTATATGTGTAGTATGTACTGTACTGTAATTGGCTTCAACATTGTGTTTGCAAAGGTCATCTTTGCTGTTCTAAAAAGACTTTTTTCTTTCCTTTGTTTTTGTAGTATCCCAGTTCATGGCTATTAGATCATTTATTCATGGGTGGTTCACTTTGCATCTAGTTGTTTTGACTCTATACAAAACTAGGAAAACACCTTTTATTCTAATCCTCACTGATATATACTTTTTATTTTCTCTCATTTAAATATTTTTTTCTAAATTTCTAATAATGAACCTGAACTTTAGAACTGAGACAGGTTTAGCCTGAGTGCCTCAGTAAATGAGTGAATAAAAAAAACTGTGGTACATTTACACAATGGAATACTACAGAAAGTAGAAGGAACAGCAGAAACAAAGAAGGAACTCCTACCTTTCACAACAGCATGGATGGAACTGGAGAATATTATGCTAAGTGAAATAAGACAGTTGGCGAAAGACAAATACCATATGATCTCACCTATAAGAAGAATCTAATGAACAAAATAAACTAACACAAAAATAGAACCACAGGCATGGAAACATGGAACAGATTGACAGTGACCAGAGGCAGGGTGGGGAGGGAAGAAGGGGAAGAAACTAGTCAAAGAACATGTATGAATGACCCACGGACATGGACAACAGTGTGGGAATTGACTATAGGAGCAGGAGGTGGAATGTTATTCTAACAATAAAAAATAATTTAAAAAAAGTGGAGCTGTGTGAGATAAGAAAAGACCATAAGGATAGACACAGACAACAGTGTGGTAATGGCCTCAGGAAAGCAGGAGTGGGGTGGGAATGAGGGCTGGAAGGAAGGGAGTAAAGAGGAAAAAATGGGGACATCTGTAATAGTGTAAACAATACAAATAACATAAAGGAAAGGCCATAAAGAAACTAAAAATGCAATAGCAGAATTGAAACAGGTATCAAAACCATGACAATAAAAAAGAACTTCATAAACATCTGGGGAGGAAAAAGTACTGGTAAATTAGGCTCTTTTGGTTTGGACCACACTTTATTTTAAATACAGAAACTCAAACAAAAGGACAATGTCCACAGAAATTTAAGCAAAACAAATTCTTGTGAAAAAACTCTGTACCCAGGCTTTAGCGATTTTTGTTCAAAAATTTTCTCACAGTTACAAACAATTAAAAATATATTATTCTAAATAGAGTTACAGCAATTCTTTAGCAAAACTCTTGTTTATTGGGTGATTAATCAGGATATGTAATTCAAGATTGGGGAAGTCATAGTATAAAAACTGGATTTGAAAAATCAAATACTAAAATGTATATTTAACATTGAATGGTTAATGCAGATATTATTAAACCAAAAAAATTCACAGATAATTCTTGAAAACATACATAATAGAAAATGCAAAACTGAGTAAAATCAAAGTACTATACATCAAAATTTATTTCTGATAGACTTAGATTCAAGTATTTTTTAAAAAATGGAAGAAAGCTAGAAGATTTTTTTCAGGTAGCAGAGTATAACCAAATTACACCCAAATGAGTGGAATCCATACAAATATTGATATTTTGACACAATAAAAATATGTGTCTATAGGTCAAAAATACAATGAGCAAACTGAATAGAAAATGAAATTTTCTAATCAGCAAAAATAAACCTATCATTAGGAAAATGGGCAGTTCAAAAAGATAATATGCAAAGGCAAACAAGTATATAAAAATTCAATTTTACTGGTGTTCAAATTAATATAAAATTAAAATTGGATACTATTTTCTGTTTATATGCTGACAGTAATGAAAAAAAGATAACATCTGTGGTTGTTAAATGTGCAAGGAAAGGTATATTCCCAAATGTCACTACCAGAAATATAAAGTGCTTTAAAAATGTGTGGAATGCAATCTGATAATATATAATAAAAGACTTAAAGAAATGCATATACTTTAATTCAGCAGTACTATTTTAAGGAATTTATTCTTATAAACTAACCATGAGTATGTGCATGAAATTGTTGACAGAAATGTTTGTTGCAGTTTTCAATATAATGGTGGAAAATTCTATCAACTTAAATATAAATAATAAGACAATGCTTAAGTTAATTGCGATCTCACCCATGAGACGAAACACTGCAATTATTGAAAATGATGTTAAAGAAAAATATTTAATAAGATCAGGAAAGTTCATGAAAAATCAGATTATAAGAAAGCACTATGTCATGGCTCCATTTAATAGTAATTATATCTATTCATAAAAAATAAAAGAACTTACCTCAAAATGTGAACAGTGAGTATTACCAGGTTGGTGGGATTGTGGTTCTTTTTTTGTTTATGGCTTATGTTTTTCTATATTTAAAAATTTTACAATGAATAGACATAATTTTATAATCATTTAATAAATGAAAATAGTTTTCTTATCTTTGGTCTTGAAACCTAATGTTGAGAAAGAAGGATAGTAGAAGGTCAAGCACATGAATTTTTGTAGCCAATTAGATTTGGGTTTGAAACCTAGTTCCCATGCTAGTTGCTAATTTAATTTCTCCATTAATTATGTTAACTGATGAGCTTTGGTTCTCTCGTGTGTGACTGAAGATGTGAATAGGGAGCCTTATAAGGCCTTTGTGAAGATGAAATGTTTCAAGTGTACACTGTGTCTGGGATATGACAGGTGTCCCGTGAACATACCTGCCTCCCCCCTTTCTCCTCCCAACGGCAGGTTTCCCTTGGCGTGTTGTTACCTTTCAGTTCTGATCCTTTCCAGAGCAGATTGTAAGGCTGCTATAGAGCAGCATCTTCCCAGGCCTTGCAGTTGCTCTGAGGAACCTTGCATAATAAGGAGAGTAAAAGAGAAAAAGAAGAAAAGTAAAATTAAAGAGAGATTTCAGTAAAAAAATAATTCTGATCATCTATCATTAAAACCAAATAAGACACGCTTTGACTCAGGAAAACATTGAAAAATGATTCTATCTTACTAAGGCATGGACATTAAATGAGCAGCATGATATCCAAATGGGAGCAGGCAAGGTTTGGTGTAAAACAGCCTTAATCTGTGGAGAAGGCAAGGCACGCAGTAATGGAGCCTGCTGTCTGCCAGGGCGGGTCATGCCAGGGTGGTTCCAAGGAAAAACTAGCACATGTATCCAGGTGAGGCTATAACCTATTTAAAGAAGCAAACACATCAGAATTTGTTCTTCCAAATAAGGGTTCTCTCTTCCATAGTCATTTTTAAAGGATTTTCACTCACTCTGAATGGTGGTGTTCCTTTTAAACCATTTCTGGAGCCCTTCTGAGGTTATTTTCAAAGACTGCTCATTTTCTTGAATACCATCAACTGTGACATATGTTCAGAGTTGGAGGACATATATTTTTTTTCTTAGATGCAAATCATTTAAGATACAGTGAGATCTACAGTAAACTATAGTAAATGA